TCACCTTTAAGCTGGACACTGTGGAGAGTTTGGAAATGAGCAAATGATGGACTCTGGCCTTAGACAGCACTGGGGAGATGAGACATTAGGAGCCCTCCAAGATCGTGGGAAGCCGTGTTCTGTTGAATGAGGTCTGAAGTGTCATGTTAAAACCCTCTGTAATTAAGCCCAACCCCACCATACCTACCCAGAACTGTTCCAGGCCAACTGTTTGTTTTTGTTTATTTGTGTTTGTTTGTTTTGGACCTCAAACACAGAGCTGATTGTGAGCCTCAGTTCTTGGTCCACGGCCATCATCAATCCATGGAAGACCCCTCTTCTTTTACTTTCTCCTTCCCTCCCATTCCTTTCTCCTCCCATGTATTTAGCATATGTCCTTGGACAAACCTGTATCCTTGAAAAACATGAAGTGTTATTTTATTTATGTATCAGGCTATAGATCTTATCCTCTAACATTTTAAATTAAACTATCCATTTTAAAGAAAACTATTCAAGTTCTGTCTGCAGAACTAGTTCATTGCTTCTGTCTGCTACTCTGTACTTTCCTCGCATTGTCCACCCCCATTCTTCTAGAAATTCACATCTAAGTTGTTGCCAGCTCTATGCTATCCTAAAGAAAGCTGCGGTGAATATCTTTGTCCCTGCCCCCTATTAACCAGTGCAAAGATCTAGGAGGTTCCCTGGGTGCTGGCTGTAGTTAGGCACATCCTTAAATCCACTAAGCTCTGTTCCTTGCTCTAGGGAATAGCTGCACAGTATTCCCTCCCACCAGCAGGGAATGAGGGTTCACTTTTCATTTCTTTGCTTTAATTTGAATTTTTCTGATTGCTAATGAGGTATGCTTCTCTTTGTATACTTATTAGCCGTTCAGGTATCTCCTCTAGGAATTGCCTATTCATATCCTTTGCCAATTTTTCTAATTAGTTTCCTATATTTTTCTTGCCAATTTGCAGGGATCCTGGCCCCGGCTGGGTAGGTCAGTTGGTTAGAGCGTCTTCCCGATACGCCAAGATTTCAGGTTCGATCCTGGGTCAGGGCACATACAAGAATCAACCAATGAATGCATAAATAAGTGGAACAGCAAATTGATGTTTCTCTCTCTCTGCCCCCCTTCCTCTCTCTCTAAAATCAATAAAAAAAAATTTTTTTTTTAATTTGTAGGGATCTCTTCTATATTATTAATTCCTTTTGGTTGTAGACATTGCAGATATCTTCTCCCTGTTACCCTCCAGTTACCTTTGTCTATGGAATCTTTCTTTGAACAAAAATCCCTAATTTGTGGAATGCATCTTTTAAAATTTTTATTTGCTTTATGATTTGTGCTTTTGGAATCTTAAGAAATCCTTTCTTACCAATGTCATAAAGATATCTTACTGTGTATCATCAATTCCTTTATTAGTTTTATCTTTCACATTTAGGTATTTAGCCGACCTGAAATTCACCTTTATATAGTGTGTGAGGTAAGGATTCACTTTATTTTTCTCTATACAGTAAGCCAATTTCCCCAATAGCATCTACTAAACAGCATCCTTCCTCCACTGAGTTGTGATTCTAACTCTATCAGACTTGAAGTTTTATGCATGTGTGTAGGTATACATATGTTTCTGGTCTTTCCATTCCATCATTCTATCTGTTAGTTGCTTCCTACCTCAGTACCACAATTCTTTCTACTACTATAGCTCTGCATTATGTCTTATTATCTGGTAGGAAAGTGTCCCCTTTTAGCTTTTCTTTTCAAAATTGACTTAGCTATTATGGATCTTTATTTTTTCTTACATCTTAAAAGTATTTGGGTTCCTCAAAAAAGTTTACTGAACTTTTATTGGAATTGCATTGAATTTTATTAATATGGGAGAATTGGATTTTTTAAATATCAAATATTATCCATGAACATGATTTATCTCTTCCTTTATTCACTTATTTGAAAAGGTTTTTTAATAGTCTTACAAATTTCTTCATAAAGGTATTAATTTCTAAATACTATATGCTTAAGTTGCAATTTTGAATGAATCTTATTTCTTTCTTTTTTTTTTTTTAGTTGATTATTTCTATAGTAGAAGAATGTTATTGGTTTTTGTAAATTTTTATTGTATCTGGCAAACTTGCTGAATTCTATTAATTTTAATAGTTTTCCTCTGCATTGTACTAGGTTTTCTATAAAAATATTATCTCTAAATACTAGTAGTTTTGTTTCTTCTAATCCTTCTAGCTCGTATTTCTTTTCTTGTCATATTGCATTGGTTAGGACCTCCAATGCTTTGTTAACTAGCAATGGTGATAGTATTTTTGACTTGCTTGAGACTTAAAGGGATTGAATCTAAAATTTCTGTTAAGTATGTTTAAGGGGAATTTTTAGTAGATAGCCTTTATCAAGTTAAGGAAGGTCCCTTCTATTCCTTTTTTTTTTTTTTTTTTGAAATTTTAATCACAAACAGGGATCTAGTGTTATCAGATTTTTTTAAAAAACCTATTAAGATAATGTATGATTTTCCTTCCTTGACACCATAAATGTTATAAATTAAAATGATACATTTTGTGATATTCAAGCATTCTTACATCCCTAGGATAAACTTGATTATGCTGTATTCTGTTTAATGCACTTTTAATGACTTATCCAGGTCATTTTTATTTTTAAATTCATGAATGTGTAAATGGTCCCAATATAATTTTTTTTTACCATTTTTACTATTTCTTAAAAAGTAAGAATTTCTTAAAAAGCACATAGATCTGTAGTTATTTCTCTTTTTTCACTCAGTATTTTAATTGCATCTTCTCTGTTTTTGTTAGTCTTGCTAGAAATTTGTCTATCTTATTTAGGTTTTTTTAAAGTCAGTTTTTTATTTGATGTTTCTAAAATAACTTACAGCTGTACCATCTTTATGAACCATTGTGATGCAGTGAAATGAAGACTGTGGAGTCAAACAGACCTGAGTCCCTGCTCTGTCACATGCTTTGTGACCTTGGACACATTATTTTGCCCCTTTGCATTCATGTCCTCACCTGTAAAATGGCAATTACAGTCCTCTTCATTGTGAGGATCAAATTTTCTACCTAAAGCACCTGGAACAACATATGTTGAGGCCCATTAAAAGTGTTCAGTGCATGTTAACCCCTGTCCTCAGGGCCTTTTGGTTGTACTCTTTGCCTAAAATGTCCACCTCCTAGGCGCCTGCTTAGCCCATGTGGCACCTGTGTGCAGATTAGCAAAGGTATCCCTTCTTCAGGCAAGCACTGTTCCCGCTCACCCCCAGCCCAGTGCCCATGTGCAGTGCACACGCTGCATAGCCATGCGTGGCAGCCCTGCCCACGTCCCTGCTCCATTTCCCTCTCTGCTCATTTCCCTAGTGCCCAGGCTGCCCATTCCTCAGGTTTCAGCTTCCTCACTGAAGCCTTTTCCTGTTCTTCTCTGGCTGAGAGTAATCAGTCTCTCTCCCTCCTTCACCCCGCCTGCCCCTGAATTCACATCACAGGTCATTTGTGTATCTCTTAAGGCATTTATTTCATTTTACCTTATGTCTTAGTTATTTTGTTCAAGTGCCTTATCCTTCCAACTGGATTAATCCCTTCAAGTTAGGGATTATAGGTTATTTGTCTTTAGATCCTTCTACCTGGACAGCTCAGTAAATGTTACTTATATGAATAATTGAGTGTTAAATGTAGGAGCTAAGAAGAGCCTTAAATAATATTGTGTAAATGGTGTTGGGGGTGGGGTTCTTTAGAGGCAGGAGCAATGGAAATGCACGTGTATGAAGGTGGGGATAAAAATGAGGGTGATGGTGTCAGGGGTACCAGTTGTCGGGCTTGCTATGTACCAGGCACTGTGTTAAGTGTTTTCACAGTTTATCTCTCTAAGCCCTCACGACAGCCCTTTGAGATAGGTGTTACTATTAGCTCCATTTTCCTGCCAAGGAAACCAGGGCTCTCATGAGTCAGCAGTGAGCTGGCACCCAGGCCTAGTCTGTCTGACCGCAGAGTCCGAGATTCCAGTTACAATGACCAGCGGGTGCCCTCAACCACATAGCAACTGCCGTTCATTGAGGACTCACTCCATTCCAGGCGCTGTGTTTGATGCTTCACAAACATTATCTGTAATCCTAACGGGAAAGTATAATGTACAGGGAATCTCCACTTTGCAGATAAGGACACTCATCAGATTAAGTGACTTGCCTAAGGTCACGTAAATGGAAAGGTCACATAATCAGATCTCTCCTGCCCCAAAGCATGCTTTCCATTCTGCATCTTGTGCACAGTGCTTGGAGCCAACAAGAAAACCCTTGCACTGGAGCTGGGGTGGGAGGGGACGCCTAGGAAAATAGAGGAGGCTAAGGTCAGAAAGGCAGATTTGCCTCAGGCTGCAGAAGGCCTCTCCGGCCAGCATGGATGACCAAAACTGACTTTTGGAAATCAAGGGTCCGAGGTAGTGACTTTGACTTGAGGATGGAGTGGGATGATCTACACACCTGGAGGCCAGGGAAGTCCACGCTCACTGGAGCTCTGTCCAGATCGGCCCTTAAGGAAGCACAAGGCTTTTTCCTTAGCATTGCCTTTGGGAAGCTACAGGGAGATCAAAGCGGCTGCAGAGAAAGTGGTGTTTGAGCAGATCTGCGGCTTGTGGAAATGAGTCCATTCCATGTGTCTCAGTGATCACATCCTCTGAGTCTGCTGGTCTCCACAGGGCACCACGAGCAACTGTCCTCAGCCTCCCAGATCTCTGCCGTACAGCTTCTGAAGAGCTGCCAGAAAAGCCTCAGGGTGGAGTGGTGTGGGTTTGTCAGGCACCACCTGCACCCTCGGGTGTTTCCTAGAGCACAGAGCCCATCTCCTGGGCTCAGATGAGCTCAGACATCAGTGAGGATGTGGGGAGCCCAGGAGAGGTGCAGATGGGGTTTTTAACTCTTGGCTACCAGTTATTCCAGGTCCAGCTGGTCCTCTGTGGGCCAAGGCGTGTCTCTGTAGGTGTGTTGTCACCATGCTCCTCACCAGTGCCCTTCCCTATCCAGGTCATTGCTGTGGTCATGGATCTCTTCTCTGATGGCGACATCTTCCAGGACATTGTGGATGCTGCCTCTAAACGCCAGGTCCCTGTGTACATCATCCTGGACGAGGCAGGCGTGAAGTGTTTCCTGGAGATGTGTCAGGGCCTGGAGCTCACTGACTACCGTATTCGGGTGAGTTGTACCACTGTGGGGGATGTGGGGAGCAGAAATTGAGATAGAAACTGCCTCTGCCCCTTTCTCTGCCTCTTCTCCAGTTCAGGGGCTCAGATGAACATGAAGATCTCAACCCCTTCTGTCTAAAACCTTATCTTGTGAACTGATAACCCTAAATTACATGCCAAGCTTACCTTTTATCACAAGGCTGCTGAGGCTAAGGAGGCAGCTCTGGCCCAGATCTGGGGTGCTCATCCTGCAGCCCAAGGTCAAAGCTAGGGCTGTGGTTCTCTTCTGGGGAGCTTTGGGAACAGGCAGGAACCACCCTGAGCTTATCTACACCCGGAGCAAGATTTGCTGACTTGCTCCTGCTCTCTAAGTGGGTTTCTACTATGAGGCCATAGGGACCATAGATAGCTTAGTGCAGGCAGGAGCCAGCAGGCAGGGTTTGGTGGACAAGAGAGCTCCTCCTCTGCCCAAGCAAAGACATGGCTCCGAGGCTTACAGGCCCCAGCCTGAGTGACAGTGTCTTTTCTTCTCAACAGAATATCCGTGTCCGCTCTGTGACAGGTGTCGGCTTCTACATGCCCATGGGGAAGATCAAGGGGACCCTGTCGTCAAAGTTCTTAATGGTAGATGGTGAAAAAGTAGCTACAGGATCTTACAGGTGAGCTGGGCCAGGTCAGAGAAGGGCCTGGGAGGCCTTTATTCATTGTAATAAATGTTCATATTCAGGAAGATGCTAGACTGGAGGCTCCGTGGCCATGGGCTTAAGAGGTATTGTCTGATCCAATGGCAAAGAAGAGCCTCCTCGCTGGTCCCTTCCCTCACACTTTGTGGCTACCAGATTATTCCAGAAAGAAGATCAACTCTTACTGGACATTAAGCACAACCTACTTTTCATGGTCCACAGCAAATGGTTGCATTTCGAGGCTAGTTGTTAGGAGGGACAAGCTGGAAGCAGAATAAATCAGACCTGGGAAAGAAATGTGAGGGCGTGTCATGGAAGGAATGTCTCCCAAATTCTGATGCTGAAGTAAATTACCAGGAACATGAGAGACGGTATGGGTGCAAGTGTCTGCCCTTCACGTAAATTAAAATCTAGGTGCCCAAAAGAGACCTGGGCCCCTGAAACAATGAATAAATGACATAAGTCCTCCTACACAGTTAAAGTATGGGGTTTTGCAGACACTCAGTACCCTAAAAATTCAGAGGGGAACCAACAAGGAATGGACCAATATCAACAATCGTAGCAGCTGCAGTGACTACTTATGAAATGTATGCATTGTGCCAGCTAGTGAGCTAAATATTTTATACACATTATCTCACTCGAGCCTCCCAACAACTCTGTTTGTACACCCTGTGAGCCCGTTTTACAAGGCGCACAGGGTAGAAACCAGGCTTGAATTCAGGCCCGAGTTCCCACGTCCTTGCCTGGCACCCAGTGCCTGCTTTCTGCATTTGAGGCCAAGACCTAAAAAAAGGGAGGATTGGGCCACTGGAAGGACAGCACCCCAGCATGAAGGCCAGGGGGTGCCTTCTGCCGGGCAGCGAGGCCTCTGGCCTCAGTGGTAGATCAGGCTGGGGTGGTCGCAGCAGTGTGTCAAAATGGGCTTGCCCAGGGGCTGCTGGCAGGGCGAGGCCACTGGCCTGAGCACATGTGTCTTGCTTTTCTGTCCCCACATTCCCAGGTTCACCTGGAGTTCCTCCTATGTGGACAGGAACCTTCTCCTCCTCCTGACAGGGCAGAACGTGGAACCCTTTGATGTGGAGTTCCGGGAACTGTATGCCATCTCTGAGGAGGTGAACTTATACCAGCAGCTGGGCCTGGCAGGAGGCGCAGGCAGGTTTGGCCTTAACTATTCCTCCACTGTGGCTCGAAAGCTTATCAACCCCAAGTATGCCCTGGTGTCCGGCAGCCACCAGCCGCCAGGGGAGATGATGCGCTGGGCTGCCCGGCGGCAACGGGAGGCTGGCAGCAGCCCAGAGGCGCAGGAGGAGAGCAGCAGAGGCGAGTCAGCCAAGCGCCTGGAGAACTTCCTGAATGACCTGGTCACGCTGGAGCAGGTGCTGCCCCCCGTGGAGCCCATACCCTCAAGAGATCTGAGTCGGAAGGATGTCAAGATGGTCTCTCACCTGCACATGGACCTAAAACCCCGAGAGGCTCTTGCCCAAAATAGCAAGGGAGAAACTGCCAACGGGGAGGTTGCCCCGGCCAAGGAGGGCAAGCGCTTTAGCTGTAGGTTGTTCAGCCGCCGGGCCAAGAGGCCTGCAGCGCCCAACGGTATGGCCAGCTCCCTGTCCACCGAGAACTTTGCTGAAGTGGAGTTTAGAATGGGGAAGAGGCCCAACGACAGCTCCAGTGCTGACACCTCAGGTGAGCCCGCCCACTCGGGCCCAGAGCTCCACTGGCCTCTGGCCCTTCTCGGAGAGCATTGCCTTGTGCCTGCAGAAAGGCAGCTTGCTGGCGTGGAGAGAGTGGGTCAGGGTCAGACAGTCCTCGTTTCCCATTCTGCTCTGGCTTTCATATGCCTCGTGGCCATGGCCTGGGCCTGGCCCTGCAGGTCTGAGCTTCCATTTCTCTTCTCTGAAAGAGGATGATGCTTGCCTTGCCCAGCTGTCCTGAGGCTATAAGGTGCTCAGAACAGTACGGGCATGGGGTAGTCTAAGAGCTGCCATTACTGCTACTGGAGCCTTAGAAAGCTGCTACTTTGCAAATGAAGCCACAGAGGCACAGCACAGCTGAGTGAGGGCTAAGGCTCGACCCTGCCTCTGAGTCTAGGGCTCAGTCTAGCAAAGCTTGTTCCTTGTCATCAGGATCTAACCTGTTCAAACATACCCCACCCTCCCCTGTGCCCCGCCAACGCCCTTACCCACTTTCCTCGTTTCTGTTGTAAAGTAGTTAGACTTGGTTCCTCCCTGTGTTTACTTGATAAGTTGTGTTTGCCATGCTGCTCGCCTCTGGGAGAGATTGTTCCTGATGGTGATATCTTTCTGGCTGTCTCTGGGATCCCCTAGAGGTCCTAGCCTATATCTCTTTCTCTGGAGCAGTTTCCAGTGTGGCCTTTCCAGAGGCGGTGGTGACAGCCGGGACTACTGCTGGCGACTTTTCTCATGTCAGCATCTCAGAGAAAAAAAGGTTTCCATTTTGGTATTCTCCCTCTGTGACCGTGAGGCCTTGCAGCAGTGTGACTGGGCTGCCTGGTCAGCCAGCTAGTGATGGCAGGGCCTGAGGTCTTGTCCTGGGCAGTCTGAGCACTTCCATGTCTCCTGCATCGCCCACAGCCCCAGTTTTGACCTGATAGTGAGTGGCTTGAGTGAAAGGATCTTAACCATCTTCCCCTCCACTCATTCTGCTCATTCCACAGCCCTGCTACAGAGCCTGACATACTCTGTGCTTCTTAAAGTGAGGACAGGCCTAAGAGTCTCGGTGAACTTGGGCCCAGCAGAAGAGAAGCTCCAGTGCTGTGCCACTATTTGGCCAGGAAGCATTTCTTGAGCGCCTCCATGCGCTGGGCCTTTACTAGGTGCTTTCTCTCTCACTTGGCCCTCACAATAACCTCAGTGGTGGCAGGTGGAAGCTTGGACAGGTGAATTTGGTGGTCCCCAGGCACAGTAAGTAGTACTGGGGCCAGGACTCACACCCAAGCCAGGGCCCATGTCCTGTCAGAGGGGATGACTGGCCCAGTTTCATTTCCACCCTGGCTCCCTGGTTCCCCCAACACCAGATGCTGCTGCTGCTTAGCACCTCATGTTTGGAGGCAGGGTTGCCATGGTGAACACCTGGCAGGGAAGGGAGGGGGAAGGCTGAGCCCAACCACAAAAGGGGCCATTTCCAAAGTCCTGATGGAGGTGAAGTGGAAGCTTTCTCTTCCTTACACCCCTCACCCTGAGTTGCTGTTTCCATAGAAACGAAAAGCCCATTATCTTGTCCCTTCTTGCTGCCTTTCCTGAGTCTCTCAGCATCGGGTTTCCAGCTTGGATGACTTGGACATTCTCTGCCCAGTTGTGCCACTCACGCGGTGCCCAGCTGCCAGCCAAGCAGACCTGGACTGTGCCCTGGGGAAGCTTCTCTCCTGACGGCCTGATGCCCAGAGGGAGAGTGACACCCAAAGAGGCAGTGAGAGGACAGTGAACTCAAGAGTCACATAAAGGGGTGCCCAGCAAGGTCACCCTATTCCTCTCCATTCTTTAGTAGGAACACAGAGTGGCCTTGTCCAGCATAGCCTCTGCCCACCTGGATGGGCACCCAGTACATGAGGGCCTGAAATTCAAGTCCCTAATGAGACCTTTTCTCTTCGTGCTGCTTTCTTCCCTCAAAGGCAGGGTAAGAAGCAGGGACTCCTCTCCTCCAGCTGTGCTGTCTTAGTGCCTCCTCTCAGTCACCAGGAAACTGGGTCTCTAGAACTCTGTGTGCCAGAGGGTCAGGCTCCTCACAGCAGGGCGACCCACCAAGGTTGGCAATAGTAATTCTGATGTGCTTGTAACTGTCAGCTGGAAGGAAATCCCTTTGCTGCTCCCTTAGAGCCCCCACCCAGGGAAAGGCTCCCTGTCATGCAGTGAACATTCAGACCATCATCACAATAGCCATTGAAGGACCTCAGCTCCTGATACCTTGCTCCTCAACCTCTGGACACACCCTTTCACCTCCCAGGGCCATTTCCTGGTCAAGAAGTGTGTGTGTGTGTGTGTGGGGGGGGGGTTGGTTG